TCTCTTTCCCCCTCCCTCTCTCTCTCCCTCTCCCTCTCTCTCTCTTTCCCCCTCCCTCTCTCTCTCCCTCTCCCTCCCTCTCTCCCCCTCTCTCTCTCTCCCTCACTCACTCACCCTCTCTCTCACTCACTCACTCACTCTCTCTCTCCCCCCTCCATCCTTCCCTTCCCCCCCTCTCTCTTTTTTTTCCTGCTCTAGCGCTGTGAGCACTGTCAACGCACCGGGGCCACGGTGGGCTGCTGCCTCTCTGCCTGTCTCAGTAATTACCACTTCATGTGTGCCCGCCTCTGCCATTGTACTTTCCAGGAGGACAAAAAAGTTTTCTGCCAGAAGCACGTTGACCTCCTGGATGGAACGGTAAAAGGGGAGGTGGGGGAGAAGGGGGTGCAGGAGAATTGCCAGGGGGAGGAGTGGACAATGCAGGAGTTTCCATGAATGCTGGGATGAAAAGGTCACGGCTGGGAGAATTTCATCGCTCCTGGCTTTTGAAAGCCGGAGAAGTGAGCTGGGTTTTCTATAGGTGTGCAATCTGCAAAGAATGTGGTGTGTGTGTGTGTGTGTGTGTTTGTGTGTACATCTACCGGTGACACAATTATGAATGAGCACTGTGTGAAGCTGTCCATTCTGCCTGCCCTCTAGGAGATCGTCGCTGAAGATGGGTTTGATGTCCTACGGAGGGTCTATGTCGACTTTGAGGGAATCAGCTTCAAGAGGAAATTCATGGTGGGCCTGGAGCCGGATACCATCCACATGATGATAGGTACTTGAGGAGAGGCGAACGAGCAGCGGTGGGCTAAGGAAGCATTGGGGTCCAGGGTAGACGAGTAGATTACATCTCCCATAAGGTGGAGGTTCTTGTGGTGGACGTGGGTATGAATTTAAGGGCTGAGGGGTAAAGAGGACCTGATCTGGAAATGTCCCTGCAGCCCTCAGGTTCATGCCTCCTCTGGCAGTGCTGATCCTCGGATTGCGTGGAAGCAAAATGGGGCCTTAACTGAGAGCATTGCATGGTGAAGGAGGTGCCATGTGTTTCCAAAAGAACAGGTTCTCCTCCCTAGTAGTACTTCCCCCGCCCCCCCATATGGAAATGAATGGGAGCAGTTTATGGACACTGGTTCACATCACTGGAATTTGAATTAAACCTGATCTTGGTGTCTTATGTGGGAAGGCCTGGGTGAGAATATTAAAGAAAACGTTCCCTCCAAGCGCTGCATCGACAGCTACCTTTGTGTCTAGGTGGGCCCTGGTGGCGCAGTGGTTAGAATGCAATATTGCAGGCATACTCTGCTCACTGCCAGGAGTTCAATCTTGACCGGCTCACGGTTGATTCTGCCTTCCATCCTTCCGATGTTGGTAAAATGAGGACCCAGATTGTTGTGGGGGGCAAGAGGCTGACCGTGTAAACCGCTTAGAGCCGGGATGGCGAACCTATGGGCACGCATGCGAGAAGTGGCATGCAGAGCCATCTCTCCGGGCACGCCAGCAGTGCTCTTCTGAGTTCTGGTGGGCACTTGCACTCTGGCCAGCTGGTCTTCGCATGCACAGGAGCACTGGAACCTGGAAGAGCAGCTCCCTGGCGCGCATGCACACACTGGGAAACTGAGCTTCTGGTTTCTGGCATGTGCACTGGCCAGCTGGTCTTCGCGTGCCCATGCGCTCCAGAAATCGGGAGACCAGCTTCCCAGTGAGCGCATGCACGCCACGGAGCTGCTCTTCTGGCTTCCAGTGCTCCCCCCCCCTTCATGTGTCTCCCGTTTCAGCACTCAATGCTGAAAAGTTTCGCCAACACTGGCTTAGAGAGGGCTGTAAAACACTGTGAAGCGGTATATAAGTCTTAAGTGCTACTACTACTAGTATCTAGAGAAGTATCTTCTCTGGAGCCAACCTTCCTCAATGATGGAATAGCATTCTGAAGGTCCTCCATATTGTTTCGGGATAAAATATTCTCATTTGGGCTTTTAAAATGACTCTTATTTTTTTAGCCAAGAGCGTGCTTGAGTCCCTCTTGATTTTACTTCTAAGTGGTTTGGCACTTATAATATTTTATCCGTTTTTAAATTTGTCGTCTCTCCTGAAATCTCTTTTTAGACTGTAATAGTCTCACAAACAGAATATCCCCCAAATATTGTAAATAAACAAATAGATCCCTTTAAATACCTGCCTGGCATTATACCCCCTTCACCCCTTGCTTTCAGTTCTCGGCTACCCAGAATTATTTTGCAGGTGGATTTTGTTTCGTCTTTGTGGGTGGGGGATTAAATTCAGGTTGCTAGTTGGGAATGCGAGGGGGGAGGAGGGATTGGTGGGCCCCTATGGCATATGGGGAGAGGCTAACTCAACCTCCGTCTTGGCATCTTTGGATAAGGCTGGGATGCTCCCCGGCCTTCACTCGCCCTTGAGAGTCTCTCCCAACACGTGCAGGCAGTGTTGAGTAGCATGGCAGGGGGCTCCGACTCTGTTGAAGACGGCTTCCTATGTTCTTTTTGCAGGAAGGGCTGTAGCTCAGTGGTAGAGCAGCTGATTTGCATGCAGAAAGTCCCAAGTTCAGTCCCATCAAATCTCCAGGTAGGGCTGGGAAAGTCCCCTGCCTGACACCTTGGAGAGCTTCTGCCAGTCAGAATAGACGAGACGAAGCTCGAGAAACAAGTGGTCTGACTCTCCCACCAGGCAGCTGCTTTCTCTCTTCGTATTGGCCCCGCAGCATTTTACCGCTATGGCTAGTCTGAGGTAGAAAGCTCTCGCCTGTCCTTCTCATCCTGCCCACCCGCCCCCATTTATTTCCATGGGCCACCACCCACCGGGACATTCTTGGGGGCGAGCCCCATGGAAAACCACAGAGACTCCCACAGTAGAATTTCACAGGGACTTTTGCCCAGTTGATGAAGCGTGCCAGATCTTCTGCTCCTTCTCCTGCCTTGACGGCTTCCCAAATTTTGTCTTTGCTGCCAGGCTCCATGAAGATTGATAGTTTGGGGATGCTGACGGACTTGTCCGAATGCGAGGGGCGGCTTTTACCTGTCGGCTACCAGTGAGTATCCACTTCTGAGTTGTTGGTTGTAGTGTCACGTTCCTTTCTTGAGTGGGATCCTAGAGAGCCAGAGGGAGGCGGTGGCTCAGTGGCTAACACGCTGAGCTTGTCGATCAGAAAGGTCGGCAGTTTGGCGGTTTGAATCCCTAGCGTCGCGTAACGGAGCGAGCTCCCGTTACTTGTCCCAGCTCCTGCCAACCTAGCAGTTCAAAAGCACGTAAAAATGCAAGTAGAAAAATAGGAACCACCTTTGGTGGGAAAGGAACAGCGCTCCGTGTATTTAGTCATGCCGGCCACATGACCACGGAGACATCTTTGGACAGCGCTGGCTCTTCGGCTTTGAAACAGAGATGAGCACCGCCCCCTAGAGTCGGGAACAACTAGCACATACTGTATATGCGAGGGGAACCTTTATCTTTAGAGAGCCAGAATTTTGCAATAGTGGCAAATATATGTAGCTCAGGTGTAGGATGAGGGCGAAGGTTCGTTCTCTGAGCTTGTGGGTTTGTTTCCACACCTTTCGTTACCAGGCTAGGTAACATCTTGAGTTTAGGAGATCTCTTAAACTCAAGATGTCACCTCAGCCACAATTTTGACACCGGGTTATATGTGGTCACATCACTCTGTTTTAGGACAGTTTTGCAAAAAACTACCATTTAACTTGGCTTCCTTAACAACTGCATGTTTGTTTAACGACTGCCGCAACAAACATCCTAAAATCAGGTCGGTCTCCTGACCAATCCCTTTTATGACCACGATGGGTATACTCCATTTTGGTCATAACTCGAGGATTACCTGTATAGGAATTGTGTTAGCTAAAGATGCTACTTCTTCTTCATCCAGCCTCTAAAAAGTTCCCTGAATGGGCCACCTTAGTTAGAATGCTGTGAGTTATAACCATATACCTCTAGAGGGTACCAGGTTGTAAAAGGGTGAATATCCTTTGAGACATGGAAGGGCCCATCTCTGGTAGGATTTTTTTTTATAAGACCAAGATTATTATTTTTTAATTCTGCCCCTTGCAGTTTTGTGGCATGTTGGAGATCCTTATTTTTTTCTAAAGCACTTTAAGCTTGCCTTAGAACTTAAAAGGAGCTTAAGGCTCAATTATCATCTTTAATAATTTTGCAGGATCTTTAAAAAATATTTTCTCTAATAGAAACAAGTGAAGGGGGGGAATATTCGTGTATACACTTTATAATAATAACAGTACTAACAAGATACAACATGGAATAATTGAATGACAATGGACTGTAATCTAATATAAATGTGTATTATTGCTAGAAATATATGAGCAGACTGAATGTAATAATTATGATTGATTTCATTAGTTCTGTTTGTATTAGAATGTGTGACACCCAGGTGCCGCACTTTTCACGCATCGATGTGATATATTTTTTTAAAAAATAAAAAACTTGGGGAGGGGATTATTTTCTTTCTCTCCTGATGATAGGAAACCTTGCTACAAAATTTAAGCAATACCGTGTTTCCCCGAAAATAAATCAGGATCTTATTTTCTTTTAACACTCCACCCCCACCCCCACCCCCAAAATAAGCCCTTGGCCTTATTTTTGGGGAGGTCTTATTAGGAGGTGGCGGGCGTGGTCACCTCATGGCTGCTGCTGTGAGAGAGGTCTTATTTTAGCGCATGTGCTCAAAAGCCCGATTGGGCTTATTATCTGGGGAGGTCTTATTTTCAGGGAAACAGGGTAGTATTTAGGGATTGTTGTGGGGGGGGGTTCACAGGTTGCCCTCTTCTCTAGCAGAAAGGTGCCTGATTCCTAGGCCGCCTGTTGGTTAGAGTAATAAGGTACAGAGATCCTTTGCTTCCTTCTGGACATATCCCCATCAGGTGTTCCAGATTATATTGGAGCACAGTGGATGCCCGTAAGCGGTGTGGATATACATGCCGGGTCATGGAGTATCGGCCAAAGCTGAGCCAAGAAGAGCCAGATGCCTCAGGAATGCAGGAAGAGAACCACACAATTGTGCACAGCCCTGCTGCCCCTTTGGGTAAGTCTGGTCTGAGCCTTTTTTTCCGAGACTTTTTTCTTTTGCATTTGACTTTTCCATCTCATGCAGAAATGTGACAGAGGATTTTTCTGCATCTCTTAATGTCATCCTTACTGGGGGGGGGGGGGGGGACGACAGAGGGTTGGAGTCAGTTCAACAAACTCATTGGATAGTTCTGCAGACCTTCTACCTCCTAGAGTTCTCAAACCTGAGAACTTCTAAGTTGTCTTATTGGACTGTCCCTTCTCATCCTCCTTATGTTGTGGCCCGCCAGCCGCCAGCAAAGCTGGCAACAGATTCGGACAGTGGAGAGGTTGGGGAGGATCATGGGCCAGTCCTGGAGTCTGGGAAGGCTCTGTGTCAGAGACAGAGGGGGGGAGCAGAGCCATATGCCAGTTATCAGCTGCCTTCAGAGTCAGACCTCAGAGAGGCAGACGAACAGCTGGAGCCTATTCCCAGTGTGCCGAGATGAAGGGAACAGCTAAAGAACAGGGGTCGACTTGGGCGTAAGGCCACAGGTGGACGATGAATGGCCCCTCCCAGAGGAAATAAAAGAGGAGCAAGAGGGGAGGGGAGTTTGCAGAAGACAATTAGTTCGCTTAATTGGTTGGCAGATAATCAGGCTGGCAGCTCTCCAAGCCAGATAAGGTCTGTGACTGTAAATCCTCCCTTGAAAGACTTTGCTGGATGTGAATGAGCAGAATTCACAGTCAATTAATAAAGGGGTTTTTGTCGGGAGCAGTCTCTACAACTCATCAGCCAGATCTTTGAGTGGCATCATAAATCTGGAGGTTTATTATCTTGAACTTACAAGTAACATGTCACTCATAAGAGTCTGGTTAAGGTCCTTACCCCTTTCGGGCCCCTGGGTTCCACTGCGTCTGGCTTCTACTTCTGACATGTTCTCTGTTTTCAGCCCCTAACCTCAGAGACAAGCCACTTCAGGAGGCCCCTTCTCCTGTACCATCACTGGAGCGCCACTCTCCTGCCCAGAACCCAGGACCTCTGCCACCTCCAGAGCCTGCTGTCTCCAAGCCTAAACCTCTCACTGGAGCTCGCATCAAAGTGCCCAACTACTCTCCCACCCGCCGGCCCCTAAGCGGGGTGTCGTCCCGCCCGTTGCCTTCTCCCGGTGAGTACTTGGCAGTCCACATCCATAGCGT